TTGGAAATTAAATCATTATTTCTGAGTGTCAAGGGAGGGGAGGGAGAGGAGCGACACCTACCGGTACTGAGAGAACAATTTTATGTTTATCCGTCGTTGGTTCTGCGGTAAGATCTGCAAATGCACAAATCCAGTCRCATTCCCAGTTTCCAAACACTTCAGCTTTGCCGGCGACTACAATGTGCCTGTAATAAACAAAAARATATTCAAAAGCATTATCCATTTTCCATGCCCGTTAAAATAGTGCCTCGTTTTGTGTTTTATTGAGAAAAATGGCGCAATTATTTCAATTCAATTCAATTCAATTTTTATTTTACACACATATATACTTATTTTACAATGACTATTGTTAATCTATTAAAGATAATTATGGGGAATTACATGTTTGTTATAGTGGAAAGTGTGCAGTGGCTAAAGGAGCCAGTTTTGTAAAGAAAAAGCAAAAAACCTTTGAGCGGACATGAAGTGAAAGCAAGGATTACACCTCCCATCATTCTTTGCTGTACAAAATGGCGGCGCTGCATACTGCCTATTTGAATACAGTCCGTGATGCAGCGCAATGAACGATTGACAAGGGATTCTTCTCATGTTCATCAAAAAGGGAGGTCAATCAGTCTATACCATCATGCTTTGCTTACTTGTTGGTGATCAGCAAAGCCTTCTTGATGTTTAAGTCACGGTGAGCAAAGTAGCGATCATCGGCCAATGAACTTTCATCAGTTTTAACTGCCTAGTAAGACCAATACAATACGCTTCATTTAGRCCCAACAATTCCTTAACACCATCCCCAGAAACCTAGGGGGGAGATAGGGTGCGGGGGAAGGCCTCGGGGCGAGGTATAGTAGTATATTTAACCGGGGTGACCTACGTAGCACGCAGTTGATGTAATGTATTCATAAAATGTATTGTATTCCATTGTTTCTCGTTCTATTGTATTATGTGTTTTGTATTATATATTTATGAATATATTACATCAACTGAGTGCTACGTAGATTCTCCCATATTTAACCGAGCAAATATTCGCAGGACGTCATAGTGGGAGATGTAGAAATACAAAAATCACTGACTAATTAGAAAAAGTTGCAATATTTAGGAAAACGACTAGAGAAAATCGTGCAACGTTTCCCATTCTTTTTACCTTCTCCCGTCCGCCCCCAAACGAAGAGAGAATTGTAATGAGTATCAGCCTACCTCTAAAATATCATTTCCAGTGGCCTCGTATAAATTGTATGGCTTTATRACCTGGAAAATAGAAAACTGATGTGAAAAAAACTCCATTAAGAACTGAAAGTGCTCTAATTGAACTGGTTTCACATGCACAAACTATGGCAGCGTGACAAGGTGCTCCACTTTAGTCGTTACATGTATTTTTATTGCGTGAACATCAAGTGTGCAACCTTGCTATGTGTTGTGTGTGCAACTGCACAGTCGTATCAAATCTACTGAAGTATTCTATTATATTTTAATAACCTTATCTGCGTAAAATACTCTTGGTGGCCGGAGTGAGTGAAGTTCTGCTTGGTTGTCAGCTGTCCTGCAATGCAAAAGACGTAAACATTACGTAACGTTACATTACCACTACGTAACGTAACGCAAATATTACGTAACATTACGTAGACAGTTCTTTATCCTAAGTAAATTTTACGTCAACTTACGCAAGCGCTACCTCACATCAAGAAAACATTACGTAACGTTACGCAGAAATTCCGTCATGCYAAGTAAAGTTAAGGTCACCTCAGGGAAGCAYTACGTCACATCACGAAAACAATACGGGGGTGACGTTACGTTAATTTTACGTAAAGAAATTAGTGTCTTACCCTTTAATACCCTCCAATGTACTGCTTGCAAAGTCCACTATGCCACCAGCAGGTCTAGCCACCACCCCCACCAAACCTTTMCCCACGCCCTTAAAGAACCCGGCCGCGCCCTGTTGCTTGGCCCCTACGTATTCGAAACATACGTTAATACGGGTGATACTGGAAGTCAACGTAAGGAAACGACTTTATACCTTCAACTGGTTTTGTTACTATTCCTGTGACTCCATCAAGCACTCCCTGACAAATGATATTGATTAAATAGAATTAATACAAGGAAATGCGAARMTGRRCAAAATATACWTTGACCATCTGTATAAACAAACAAATCTGACTGATGAGCTACAATATTCTGCAAAATAAAATAAACACCCTACCCCCTTTCCCCACTACAAGGTTGTTTCCTTTGCACTCTCAGCGATTTCGTAGCAATTCATCGACAAACAACATTGCAAAATAGAGGGGAGGTTGTAGTAATACAATCATAGACGGTGTTTCACACAATTTTGGAAAATATTTTAGGTAAAGCAAAAACAAAACGAATAAACAAATTAAAAAAAATGAATGAATGAATAAATGAAACGGATGAATGAAATGAACGCATCTGACCTCGATCAATCCCTTTCCTCCTCTAGCAAGTCCTTCCCCTACATTGACAGGTTTCTTGCCCATCGCTTGTCTTCGTTCTTGCTGGTATTTTTCGTCCATTGTCAGGGCAGCAATACCTTTACCCAGAGTCCCAGTAATACGAGAGACTGCGCCGGCAGCACCACCTATCAACATCGATAAATAGTTCAGTACCGACAGAAACTGAAATAGCCTCATTTTCAGGCAACTCTACTCCGTTACCGGGATTCCTGTGTTAAGTCAAAAAAGCTGCCGGAGGAGGAGGGGGGTGAATCCCTCGACACCAGTTCTCCGTAAAGAATATCGACACAGAAAGACCAAAAATACGATCAATTATTGTTTTCTTACCCACAGTGTGCCCAACTAAACTGCGAACTCCTAGCGCCAGTCCTTCAGCAAATTCTCCTGGTCCTTGAATAAAACCCTAATATCACAAGCATGAGTGATGAGAAGGTACTAAAAAGCCTTTGATATTTCCCTAACCTGGTATGAATGCTTACCTGGTATGGTTCATAGAAAAGATCCTTAGCTCCGTCTTTCAGTCCGCTAATCAGCCCAAATGGATTTCCAAGTACATCCAAGCCAAGTACTAACACATACATTTGCTTGATGGCCTAAAATAAAAATTTTTATTAACCGAACTGGTTGACGGACATGCTGACATCAATTATTACAAAACGTCCTTATGATTCCAGGGCACTTATAGTCTAGGCAGGTTTCAAACACCTATAGTCTCATGGTCCGACTTCAACTCAAATGAGATTCAGCATATCAAATTGAATTCAACCCGTGAAATTCGGCGTTTGACACAAATCTTTGTCGGTGAATGCTTTAAAGAATGGCTAGAGGTTTTATTTGCGCAACTTGCAAGATTACTTTAAAGAGGCCAAGCATTACACGCACCTGACTTGTGTAATGTTTTCTGATAACGTCCACCAGCTGTTGTTGATCGTAGACTTGATTGCTGATCTCAAAGTACGCCAATCTAAACAATTACACTATAGTTATCAATAATCGATGATTTTAAGGTACCTTTTCACCCAACAACAACAACATACTACTACAGCACAACAGCCACAGGAGCAACAGATACAACAACAACTTCAACAGCAGTAACAACAACAGCAACAACAGCCACAGGAGCATCAACATCGACCGATACAACAACAGCAACAGCGGCATCAACAGCAACAACTACACCTTCAACAACAACAGGAGCATTAGCATCGACCGATACAGCAACAGCAACAGCGGCATCAACAGCAACAACTACACCTTCAACAACAACAACAGGAGCATTAGCATCGACCGATACAACAACATCAACACGGCATCAACAGCAACAGCAACAGCAACGACAACTACAACAACAGCCACAACAACAATAACAACAACGACGACAACAAAAACTAAGCAGTGCAACGCAAAATGACGGAGGATAAATAATTCAAACTCACTTGAATTCAACATCTTGTACTTCTGTGACAGCCACACCAACACTCTGCATCAACAGGTTAATAAAACTATTCCCGATGTGTGACGACGATTTGTCTTTGTCCTCCTTCGATGGACCTCCGAGCTGAGAGAAGCTTACATGAATCTGAAACAACAAAAAACGAGGACAATAATGATGTTGATTCAGATAACATGGACGTCAGTTTATAGTGATTATAGTGAATTCAGTAGAGAAATAATATCGAGTATTTACAACGTTTCGATGTCCACACCATTTACTAGCTAAATGAAAGAATTAAGCGGACTTTTATTTATTAAGTCATGGAGGGTGGGGGGCTGCTAATTAATGAAAGCCCCATAACATCAATGTCAATAAACTAAGAAATATGTTGGAAAAATATGCTCTGGTGTTCTTTCAACAATCGCGAATGTTTCTAACAGAGAATGGAAACAATGAAATATGTTCTAATGCTTAAGTACTATTTACCATGTCTGCAGTAAGTTTTTACCTTTAGAGGCGAAAGATGGAAAGTATCAAAGTAATTTCTCTTATCGTCTAATGCCGCCTAGAAATAAGAATCAATAGCATGAAGTATCAATAATATTATAACAAAATAACACCAGTTAGCATTATAACCCACAGCCTCCTTTGCAGACGTTATTAGTATCGGTCGTGGAGAGGGAACGTATGGCCGATACTAAAAACGTCTGCAAAGGAGGCTATATAACTCAATGTTATTACCAGATGTTAATATTAACTAACCTGTACAGCATTTGCATCTCCTAACGAATCAAGAACGCGTTGTTTATCAGCAGTGTATTGTGAAAGCTGTAGGGAGAAATACAGCACAATAAGCAGGCAAATTATGGTACTGAACAATTTTCGAGTTCGAAACAAACAAACAAACAAACAAACAAACAAACAAACAAACAAACAAACAAACAAACAAACAAACAAACAAACAAACAAACAAACAAACAAACAAACAAAACAGTTTTAGGAGTACGGCTGCTTTTCTGTATTTTTGCTGTAAGGATTCATCGAATCCAATCTTGGGCACTTTCCATGGTTGTCCAGCTTTAGAATGTATCATTTATAATACGTTAATAATGTCGRTAAAATCTGATATTAGTACCTCCTTGCTTCGATCAATAGTATCACTTGAAAAAAGTTCAACTAATGCCATGATGAATCCCATATCTATCATGACTTCCATCTCTTGAATAAGAACCATGAAATACCTAATTATAGAATAATATATATTGTCAGAAAAAAAACTACTAACAAGCAGAAATTCCGAAGTTTCTTTATATGACGAGAGGATTTTTTATATACACTTTTGTGTCAACAATAACAACAGCAGCAACATCAGCAACAACGACTYCAACAACAAAATAGGCCAAAACTGAACATGAAATGCCTTCTGATATACAAATATGAGAAAAGTATTGATTAAATATACGTCAAATCAAAATAAAACGTACTTGATTTCGTTGACTTGGCTATGCTCTACTTGTCTCATCACAAGACTCATCTCAAAGAACGGCTTGGGAGCTGAAAGATAGGAAAATCAGCACATGTTACAATGATTTGAAATGTATGTCTATTCTTCATCCCCTAGTTGGACTTACCATTATCTGCTGCTACAGATTTGGGCGGAGGCACTGGATGYAGAACCGTTCTGAAAGTCGATCCCGGTATTTGACTGTCGATCTATAGCATAATCAACACATCAGTAAGGTACTTTTCTAATTAGGCTTATATAAATGTGGTATCCAAACGTTTTTGGATACTTGCGAGAATACATTTTTACTACATTTTACCGTCGTTGATTGAATGAYTGATCAATTGATTAAATGATTAGTTAACTTAATATYATTTTGCAATGACTGAATGATAGAGTTGACTGATGATAGGCKGATTACATCAATACAACTTCTTCGTCCCATTGCATCTATATCKAAASTCTKTCCTCSTTGACATATTYGTATATCTCCATAGATATATATACRATGAGATTGGTGAACGGTTACCATGGAAACATAACCCCAATTTAAACTAATTATCATCGTTATYTAGCCTGCATACCTGGATAGCGTTAACYTTGGTGTGTAAGGTAAGTTCATGAGGAGAAGCCTCATACTGYACTGATATCCCTGGTGTAAATGTTCGTCTTATTGGACGTCGACTTGGGCTGATAATCTCCATTAACTCAAAGTCAACCTACAAAGAGATTAGTACTTTTAATTTCTAACATATGTTATTGGGTTCTCCTCCATCCTATACTTGGGTTCTCCACGGGTAACCCTTACCATCACAACGAACMTATTATAATAGGCAACCAAACTCCTTGYGTTTAAGACAAATCCTACATCTCWACTGSCTATCTTTTCCCTGCATAGGGTWATCCACCACCAATAATGAGTGACACAATATCATASAATTCTTAATCAACTAATAYACTTTTTCCTTTACAAGGGAAGGGATCTCCATCACCAATCATGAGTATAATATCATAGACCACATTCACTAAAGCACTTCAATYATACCGATATGTCAACAACAATCYCTTACTTCTATATCGCCCATCTTTTTCCTGTARTTGGGTTCTCCACCAACAGTGTTCACATGCTGAACRTGGTTCCARGCTTCTTCAAGTTGTTGAGATAAACTAAGTTTTAATCCCTTCCATCTTCCTTTGCTTTTCAGTTCTTCCCAMACGATATCACTCCTGAGAAATTTGAAAACATAAGAAATAAAAGAATGAAATCAGAAAGGGAGAGAAAAAGGGGAAGATAACRTCAAGAACTTTTATTCTTACTCTGTGATGCCAACATAAGCCAGTTCGATACTTGTCTCATTATTAACCAATGATAGTCCAAAACCATGAAGGTCAAGTTTGATACTCTGAGACACGCGCTCAGGAATCTCCTATAGATTATTTATAAATATTAGTAACATCGCTATGATGTTGTCATCACCACCATCATCAGTCAAAACGCGTTGCTACTGATATCATCATCATCAATCAAAACGTATTGCTACTGTCATCATCATCATCATCATTACCATCATCATCATCATCATCAATCAAAACTCATTGCTTCTGTCATCATGATCATCACCATCATTATCATCACTTAAAACGCGTTGCCACTGACCAGTTGTGCCCGGTAAGCCAGCGTGAAATCATCGATGATTAAAAGTACTCGTTGTAGACCATCTAGGAATGTCGCCCAGTAATACGTAGTGTCATTTACTTTGAAAGAGCTATGGGTTGCCTGTGGAGAAATATTCTTTTAGTTAAATTTTTTTAATATACTTGAAAGCAAACCCTACCAGAAGAGGAACTGACACAGTCAATTTACGGTTGTAAAATTTAACCCTTTATCATCGAGCAATTCTTTGATCCTTACCTCTGTCAGGTCTGTTGTTCTCTTCTTATCGCCTTCTCCTTCAGCCCACCAAAYAAAAGACTTCTTCTCCATTAGCTTATCCCAGGTGTAAAGTATACTGTGTCCAGGATGTAACAAACACTCGCGGCTCTCTTGACTGAAACAGCAGACAATTGACTTTTTCACCTGTTTTCACTGAAGACTTTTAGAAAACCATTTACAATCATATCACCACTATCATCATAACTTCTTATATATCAGATACAGCTATTTYAAAAAAGGTTGTCGGSGAGAATTGCAAAAGTACGACCGAAGGGTACTCTGGGAAATTCTTTATGATAATTACTCATTTACTCAATATGGGAAAAACCAACCAAAAATCATCAAATGAGGAGTCTTCATTTAATGAAAACAAAACCAATGACTGTCTTTGATGGGTGATATTTCCGTCAATGAACAATACCCATGATAACTTTCGGTCGTGCCTTTACCCATAGTAACTTTCGGTCATTCCTTTACCCATAGTAACTTAAAATAGCTGTACATACCTGTCCTGTTTGTAGTGTATTTCAAGAGGTGAGCTGTTTTCAATACGAACTGGTGCAGCACCGTTATAGTACGGAATGAAGGTCATAATGGCTGCCGACTCTTTGCTAACCATCTCAACACAAACCGCACCAACCTACATTCAAAATCAATGATCATTGGTTAATAGAAACCCTGCCTTACGGTCAGCCGCTTAATGCGTACAATTCGTTATAATGGCCAAATTTTTATGCCGGTTAAAACGGGCACCTCGTTAATCCGGCCACTTTTCGATGCCGTTGGCCGGATTAAAGAGTTTCCACTGTATATTTTTTAGCCAATCAGAGTTCAGTGATTATCTAATTCTCTTCTGCAGACACTCACTTTATCAGCCATCCGTAGTAGTACAGTAGTTTCTGGTTGGAAGTTAAAGCGTGGTGAGTTATCCATGTCGTCCCCAACTCGTATCACAAGGTTCTTGGGTGGAACTGACGATGGCCAGAATGGAACACACTAAAATCACACACACACACACATAGTACAGAGATTAAAAACAAACCAAGAAGTTTATGATGAGATGGTGAGGTAGTATGTTGAAAAAGGAAGGAATTAGGGAAAGCCATAAAAACAAACAAAAATAAAAGCAACAAGGATAGAGCAAACGCAGGAAAACCATGAAATAATAGCACCAAACTAAATACTAACAAATAGCGGCTAATTATAGACAATTTGTCAGTATCAAGATGAATCCACATGCGACCATTTTTAATTGTTGATTTTTATCGATTTATTGTTTATTGTATGTTTTTTTATCGCACAATAAATTAGTTTCATATGGATTTATCTTGATTGCGTTCTGGTTCATTGATACTGACAAATTGTCTCTAAATAGCCGCTATTTGTTAGTATTGAGTTGGTTTTATTTCATGGTTATCCTGCGTCTGCTTTATTATGTACAGGGAAAGAAAGCTTACCTCCCCTGGCTCTACTTTCGTCCAAACTAGATAACTATCGTCTGGTGCCTCACACAGGTAAACTGGAGACTAATTAAATAGAATATAGGAAAATTTAGAGTGATTAGTACGTCTTTATTCTGTGTACATCGACCCTCAACCGTTAGTGACAATGAAGGACTGTTTGAGCATGACACACAATTATCCATAACTTACCGCAAACTGGTTTTTAAGAAGATGGAATGGTGTAAACTCGACAATTTTGGTTAAACTGAAGTATGATAGTGATATCTGAACACCAATCTATGGAATAACGAGAAATAATAAAAAAATGCAATACCTCTTTAATTTTCTACTGAATATGAGCTTAAACGCGAACAGCTCCGTGAATAGAGACGACATTCTTGCGAAGAATCACTAAAATATGTTCCCTTTTTGAACGCATAAACATATGGAAGGATAAAATATATCGGCTTTAAAAGGAATCATCCGGTGGATAGCGCTATTAACCCTTCGAACCACTGCCCTCAGAATAACAAAATCTAGTATTTCCTTTTGATCCACACATTTTCTCTTTGTTATCCTCAAGCTACCAATATCTTATAAGAATCATTATTACCTCGACAATTTTCCCTTGTCTTTTTAGTTTCATGGAACCACCACTGCCAACTGTATCGAGAGAAAACTTACTGCACCACTCAGAACCAGATAAGCGTATCTTTGCCTAGATAGGAGATACGAGCAAAGAAAAAGGCATCCTGTTAACTATATTCACTGGTAACAAAGTCGGTGTGTTGGTTTTCAATGAATGGTACTTACTGCTGCCTTCTTGCTGAAAACGTTGCCTTTTCTTTTGTAAGAAAACATGACAGCATCACGGTGGGAATCTGGATGTCCAATCGAAACATCATCGTCTGTTGCCTGAAAAAACACAAACGCGAGATTCAGTTTACCAAAGTGCAAATAAAGACTGTTTTTGCTGTTGTTGCTGTTGTTGTGGTTCAGTTGTTAAAAATGTTGCTGTTGTTGCTGTTGCTACTGTTGACACTGTTGCTGTTGTTGCTGCTGCTGCTGTTGTTGTCGTTGCTGTTGTTGCTGTTGCTACTGTTGTTGTTGCTGTTGCTACTGTTGACACTGTTGCTGTTGCTGCTGCTGCTGTTGTTGTCGTTGCTGTTGCTACTGTTGTTGTTGCTGCTGCTGTTGTTGTTGTTGTTGCTGCTGTTGTTGTTGTTGCTGCTGTTGTTGTCGTTGCTGTTGTTGTTGTTGCTGTTGTTGTTGTCGTTACTGTTATTGCTGTTGCTACTGTTGTTGTTGCTGCTGCTGTTGTTGTTGTTGTTGTTGTTGTTGCTGCTGTTGTTGTTGTTGTTGTTGCTGCTATTGTTGTTGTTGTTGTTGTTGTTGCTGCTGTTGTTGTTGTTGTTGCTACTGTTAATGCTGTTGCCTCTGTTGTTGTTATTGATATTGTTAATGTGTTCGTTGTTCTTGC